GGTGGTTGGGAGAACTCGCAGTACTTCACTTTGTTGACAGCGGATCACCCACGTAGGTGAGTGAGAGGGATTTTAGTAAAAATGTCCGAACTTAAAAAACTCCACTTTTCAGGACTATTCTTATCAATAACATTATTCATGTTATCAAGAAATACAATTTCGATGGGGTCGACTTGGATTGGGAATATCCAGTGACAGGAGGATCGGTCGAGGGAACTCCGGTGGGTCGTTGAGTTAGATCATTTTGTTGCTACGGAAAAGTGTGTAGTGATTTATTTTTGAGGAGATCTCGCGAGTACTCATATATACAATCAATTTTCTACGTAATTAGCAAATTACTAGCTCACTAAGGGACGATACATTTTACTACTGATAAACTTCTCAAAAGGCAATTTGTTGGAAAGATCCGGATCACCTTTAGCCGACTTTCTAAGGTTTATACAGGCCGATCGAAGAAACTATGTACATTTGATGAGAGAACTGCGCAATAGACTGAGAGAGATAGAAGAGCAAACTAATAGACAGACAGGCTACTTGATTTCCTTTGCTGGAGCAGCTGGACATTGGGTACTCAAGCCAGGTAATCATGTCTCAATCATTACAATTCGTTTAAAGAAAAATTATTCCAAGGTTATGATCTCGTCCAGTTGGTTAAATACGCCGATTTTGTGAATGTGATGTCGTACGACTACTTTGGAGCATGGCAGTCGAAATGGGGCGCGTTTACCGGACCACCTGCACCGCTGTACTTTGCAACGCCTAAGGGGTATAAGAGCTTTAATTAGTTCAAATAAAGTCTTTCAATTTTTAAAGGATAAAATACGGAAAAGCAGGCCCCAATTTATTTGTAATTATTGAAGTAAAGATCAAACTAGACCTACCTAGGTTCTCCGGTCGTATGAATGTGCACGCTACCATGAAATACTATAGTTGCCAGATCAAAGCCACAAACAAGGTGAGGGTATTTAGGATTAATACTACCACACTACAATTCCAAAACTTTGCAGCTTAACATGGGCGTTCCATTTTATGGCCGTTATTGGCACAATGTTGGTGATGCTGCCGATCCCAACGATGAAATGTGGAGAACAGCCACACCTAGCGATGGTCTCACCAAATTTGAGGTTTTCAGCCTAGCATCTCCTCAGAAGGAATAAATGGAGAATTTTGTGGACTTCAGGGAGGTGATGTAAAATGGCGTCAACTTCATCAAAAATATGATGTGAAGCGAGCGAAATTCCACCAAGTAGCAAAAAGTCCATTTATATGGTTGCCGGAAAACAAGACATTTGTAGGATTTGAGAACCCAGAGAGTCTCAAATATAAGGTAGAATATTTTCGAAATGCAATGAAAGTTTGTTCTTGTTCACATTTGCATCTCTGCCTTAAGGCTGTCACAGCGCTCACTTGGTGCACGGTTGTGTTGCAAAAATTTTTCTTATCTACTAAAAAAAACTATCTTTTAAATTTGTATGGAAAAAAGGAGGTTTGGGGACAGCTTCTTGCAAAACTTTTCCAGGTGGACTATATCATTGAAAATGATCTTGGTGGCGTTATGGTGTGGGCCATAGACTTCGATGATGATGAGCTTACCATGCTAAAAACTGTTACCGAGGTAATGCATCAGCCAGTTTCATTTCTTTTCAAACAATTATCAGTGCTAAAATAGTTGAAATTATTCAGAAGGGCGAGCTATGCATCCGCAATGGACATCCGAAAGGTATGGCGTACAAATGCTCGCCTATAAACGAACAGCGCTGGTGGACCTATGATGATGGAGAGGTAGGTAAGGAAGGAACTGCGACTAACCAAGCATAAGTTGTTGCCTAATTCTTCGTGGGATGATCATATGTAAAATTTAAAAGGCAATGCTTAGGAACTAGCCGGAATGTGCGGCAAATCTGCGCCATTGTACGATGGCTACTATCCTGTTTGTGACCCGGACGATCCCGGGCACGCCTGTTGCGGGAAGGTACGTTTACCCTTCACTTGCTATAGTGACCAGCATAAATCTGAGGAGCAATTTAGTTCGGCTACTGCGGCTCTGGACCGGAGTTCTGCAGCTGTCCCGAATGTGTAGACTACGGTGCTGATCCCATGTTGATTCTGAAGGAGCCAACGAAACCTTCACAAGCAAAAATCACTTGGTGAAGCTTCTTTCTTTTGTTTCTATATCATTTGTACCCATTTTCCAAGGAAAATAGATTTGAAGAAAATTCTCTTTTAGGTACACCTCAGATGCACCAGATGGCAAACGAGGACGATGTGGGCGCCAAATTCCTCCAATTGATGGTGTGATCCCAACTTGTAATCCTGATGATGAAAATGCGCATTGTTGCAGCAATGGTGGCTATTGTGGGAACAGCAAGGTACGAAAAGCTCATTCCAATATTTAGCCATATAGGATAGGTTTTGCATGCGTGCGCGTTCCAGCTACAAGTATTTTAAGGAAACACTAATTCCTATATTTCTTAAGCTTTGTTGATAAGAACTACGAATTGGGCCTTGCCAATAAGCGAAAGCTAACTGAGGGTGCAGACCTAAATTCTTGAAGAAATTGCAAATTCTCTTGTCCCATTTCCTTTGAAGGATCATTGCGAATGTGTTGGCTGTGTGGATTTCTCTAAAACTAGGGATTTTGTATACAAACCGCTGGAATGGTGGACATACGCGGAAAATCCCGCAAACGTCGGTAAGTTGAAGGAGTTTGATAAACTGTGCGGATAAAAGCACCTAACCAAAACCTTTTATTCTCGCTTATTATTCTAGGACGGTGTGGACCTGACGCCGAACGCCTACC